GTGAGTCCCGCTTGCTTTCTTTCTTTTGCGGCTTTTGTTTTCCTGGAAACAGCGTTGCCGAGCTCCGCAGCTGAGAGCAACATGGCGCAAACTTCCCCCGCAATCACAAAGCAGAAGAAAGAAAGAAAATAGACGCTAGCTAATGAAACTTTATGCTTTTTTGCGCACTTTGCGGAGCTTGTGAAGCGTACTCGCATGCTTCTTGCGCCGTTTTCAAAGAAAGAAAGGCGCACCGCCATTGTGGTTCATGTGTTTGCAAACCCATAAAAACTATCCAGATCCAGTGACACACAACAAAGTCTGCAGAGGGTTTTGAACTTTCAATAAAACTGAGATTTATCTTTTATTTGTGCACAAACTCACTTTTGTTGACTTTGCAGGTTAGTTTAGCAACTTAGCAGCAGTGGTGCGTTTAGGGTCCAGCTCAGGGCAATTGGATACCAACTGGAGATTCAGCTAAAACAGTCGGCATTAAAAAATCCAAACCTGACTGTGGAGTTAATGTGATTGTCTGAAACCATTCTGTTAATGCATGACCCAAAATAGAGCATCGTAAACTCAAAACGTCTGAAAGATGGGTGAGTTGTTGCTCCAGGCCCTGCAGGATGGTCAGTGAAGGTGCAGACTGGAGCTCCTGGTGCAGGCATAAATCCAGCAGCGAGGATATTGAGGTGGCTGGAGATGACCTCTGAACTCACTCAGAGCTGCAGCACTGCGTGCAGATCTGATAATAGTTGATTGACATCACAATAACACAATAATTTGCAGCATTTATGGAACTGACCTAAATGTTTGTGCACAAATGTGATTGTACAAAGTCTCAGAGAGAGATGATGCCAAAATTCCAGGTTAGCGACTGGTGACAAGGGATTCGTTTTAATAGTTTTCCTTTTTAAGTACAAATATTTTTAAGCAGCTCCTCAAGTTTCGTTAAGTATTGATGCTCTGCCATGTGCCAGCCTCTTGTGCTTTAATGATAGTGACCTAGAAGTTTTACCGGATGCTCCTCTCCTCTGAATAATTAAATGTGAGCAGAGACGTGCAGGATGGAGGACTTCTCCTCTACGGCAGCTTCTGTTCAAGTTATAAAACATGGCAATGAGGGAAAGCGAGAAAAGGTGGAAACAGTCGATATACGTTGGCTTGTCTGCTGATGGAGTGCCATCTCAAACTTAATGTTTGACCACATTTTTCTCCAAAGTTGCAAAGTATGACCTTAAACAATAAGCTGATGTTGCATGCCACCCACAATGCATTGCAACAAAATTTTCAGAGTTGCAAACAAAATGTGTTTTAAAGGCAGCAAATGAGATAAATCATTGATAAGTTGGAAATGGAAAAAAGAAAAATGATGGTTAATTGTTTTGGTATGATGCAAAATATCTTAATCGAATTCTATAAAAAAACAATGGTTTACCTAAATATTTTTAAACAGCTTTGTGTAGTTGATGTGGTTGTTATGGTTACACAGCATCACCGTACAAAGTACTTGAGAAAAGATGCATCAGAAAAGTGGCTTGTGATTGTTAATGACCAATATTCGACACAATCGGCCAATCTGATCATCAGAAACCAGCAATTAGTGTAAAAAAACAACAGGAATTTTCCTGGTCATTGAACTCACCATTGCTGAGCACTAATTAATGCTAGCTAAAAAATTTCATGTGGAATTTTATCTTTTGGTTTTATGCGTTTAGTAGATGACTTTATACAACGTGACCTATGCAGAGGGGAAGTAGCAAGGCGGTTTAAGTGTCTTGCTCAAGAACACAAAGACAGAATGATTATGAATAATCTAGGATCGAACCGGCAACACTCTGAATAAGGGATGACCTGCTCTACCTCCTAAACCACCACCAACATATTCTGTTAATCATAGTAAAAACAAAAACAGCTGCAATAATAAAAGTGAATAACACTTTTACATTTGGTGGATGTTTAAAGCTCTCATACTTAAGTTTATTTTTCTATAAATTTGGAATAATCTAGTATAAATGAATGCCTTGTGAGTCGATCTCTGTGGAAAAAAGCTCTGGTGCTCCTGTTTCAGGAAGTAGAATTTAGATAGAGGACTTGGGGGCAGGAAACGGCAAGATTTGGAGTCTTAGGGTGTTTTTCAGTGTCAAGGCGCCTTGCCTTGCGAGGCGATGTCTTGCGAGGCCAGTCGCCTTGCTTAAGAGGACACTGTCCTCCCTTGGTCAAAGAAAACTGTTAAATGGAACAGACTTGCATCACGTGACCGTGGCTTCCACGGCGGTCACATAACGTCACGTGACACGGGAGATAACGTGATATTTTATATGTATTAGTTTCAATATAAATATATAATGAGCCTTTTACTTTTTAAATTGTGTATATGTTTATTAAATTAAAAATATAAGCGAGTTACTACCCGCTAGCCACCGAAGCTGCAACTACTAAGCAACTAACCAACAATAGATAACTTCTTTGGATCTAAAAAAACATTTTAAATTAGCTGACTTACTTTTAAACTTGAAAATTGTCCCCGAAGTAGCTGCCGGCTTCTGATCCACCGTCTTTTAGAAAATACCGTGGTGTATTGTGGGTAATTTTTGACCAAGGCTAGGCTACAAGACACTTCCTGTGTGTCCTTGCTCAGCTAGCTAAACGGCTAACAAACGGAGAACACACGCCTCGGTAGAACATGAACATTGGAACCGATTGGAACACATCTTGGCGGCTCCTGTTTATGTATCACCTAGGCAACTGGGGCGGGGCCAAGACATCAAGGCAAGGTTCCTTGACATTGAGAAACTCCCTTACTCATTATTATTCATGATATTCACACATCTTGCCTCTGGTTGGCTAACAGCAATGTGACTCTGCCACTGACTCTGTTTGCTCTGCAATGTTGATGTCTTATCTCCAAAAATAACACAAGCCAGGTGGAGTCCTGCTGTGTGGGGGAGTTGCTAATGCTAACGGTTAGCTTCTGCTAGCTGAGAAATTCTCTGCTTTTTCCTGGAGGCTAAACCAACAAAGCCTTCCTCGTCGTGAGTAGGGTTGTCACGGTGTGACAATATAACCTCACGGTTATTGTGACCAAAATTATCACGGTTTTCGGTATTATCGCGGTATATATATTTTTTTTACGTGTTACATTTTCAGACAACTAAATAAACCCTGTATATCAGGAAAATATTGTCCTCAGTTAGTGTCTAAATTTTGCCTAAACTGTGTTATTTTGTAATTATGTTGTTTATTTGTTTACATTTTTCCCCTTTAGTCTTTAAAATACCAATATTTGCCCATAACTTCTTATTGTTTGTCTGTTTGATGTCATCATTTTAAAAATATTAGATCAGATGATACTCAGTACTCGAGTAGCCTTCTAATCAGATACTTTTTTACCCTTACTTGAGTAATAAACCGTATATCAGGAAAATATTGTCCTCGGTTTGTGTCCTTCCAGGGAGCTTTGCAGATGTGGGAAAATGTCATCAGGCAGTAATCATTGTTAAATTCATAATTATTCTCGGAGAGAGACCAACTCTTATCTGCCCCTGGGAGCCCCGTAATGCATAGAGTCATTTCAACATGGTGGTGTCCACAACACGGTTTATATGCAGGTAGCGGCGCTGCGGCTGCTTTATATTGCGACTCGTTGCATTCTCCCTCAACCCAAATCCTCGGTTCACGCATTTTAGCTAAAGCGCTAACGTTAGCTTGCCTTGCGTTGACTGTAGAGTTGTGGGTGATGGTCACGCAGATGTGTCATGAGATTTGAAGCGTTGCTGCCTTTCACAGACACTTTTTCTGCACGTGCTGCAAACAGTATAGCCGTCTTCTATCAACTGTCCCTCGGTATTCTTCAAATATCCAAAAAATGCCCATACTTCCCACTTTGTCTTCTTTGAGGGATAATAAATGTCCTGAGCACTGCCGTCTCCTCCTTTGACCATTATTTCAGCTTTAGTTTCAAGAAAGTTTTGGTTGTAAACAACAAAGTGCGCATGTGCCGCCGGCAGCTTCAGCAGATGATACAGTGGCTGGTAAGGGTCACCGCGCCTACACCGCAGCCACGGTAATCCACCGAGGTAAAATATATATTTTTAAAAACAAGACGGTTATTATTATTGTCTACTTTTTTACCGGGGTTTACCGCTACACCGTTTACCGTGACAACCCTAGTCGTGAGTCAAGATGGGTGAGTCCATGAATGTTAAGTGACAGTGTGACGTAGATCTGTCAGGATTTTCCAATCCTGGAGTTTCGCTGTCTGTTTTCTATCAGAAGCTGCAGGAGATAGGTGTAGGAGACTATTTTCATGTTCAGTCTGCATGAAACACTCTGAGTTACCGACCATATTTAAAAAATAACAAGTAAAAATGGTTTCTCAGTGAAGTAGGTTGTTTAAACATATGTATTTGTGTATAACGTAGCATGGGGATGGATTATTTTATGGCTATGTGCTGACAACTTTAGTGTCTGATGTTTGTAATGTTTTAAGCAGGAGGAGAAGTCTTGTTAATGAGGCCCCTGAGGCTTTCGGTTGAATTTTCTGAACACATCAGCCACAACAAAACTTCAAAAACACAACAGCTGTGTCATTTCATCTGCTTATAGCTGTGTTTCTTGCTCCGGTTCCACCCAGCTCATTTCACCCAGCCACATTTGCGTGTTCTTGTCCCAGGAAGTGTTTTGGGTTCAGATGTCCTGTTACAGATCACCGCTTTTATTTATTTATTTTTTTTACATTTTTTTTAGGTCTGCTCGACTTAATAGGAAGACCAAATTTAGGTTGGGTGTTTTCTTCTGCCACAGTGTTTGTATGGACCTTCTTGTAACTTCCCCTGTCATTAGAAAGGAATGTTTTTTGCAGGAAGAGGGGCCTTTAGCTTAGCTTCTGAGGGCATTAAGCTATCTCCTAAACATGGAATTAAAACAACTTGGATGGTGGGATAAGGGTTCTTGTATAGTAAACTCAGAAATCTGACTGGAATGGGAGGTAAAACTCCTCCTCCCATCAGTTATTGTGC